AAATTCCTTGGACACACACACACGAAATAATTGCAATTTTTTTCTTGACTGTTTTCTTGAGAGCTGCATACTGGCCCTTAAAATACCAAAAACCATTTTCAAATCGGAGCAGTCTGTGCGAAGTTATTACATTACATCAGGGATGATAAATGAAATTTTCGAAATTGTAACAAACGTCAGAAAAAAATTTACCAAATCAAATAAAAATGTACCAACCAAAAATTTTAAACGCTTTCACAAAAACAACGAATGCTTAAAACAAATATGCATTTATTTAAAGCCTTTTAAATAAACATCTTGTAGAAATATACATATATGTACTAAAAGTAGAATAAACATTAGTCAAGCATTTCACTTTCTTTGAGATCTTAAGCCACATTTTGGTTTAAAGACTCTGTATGTATTTTTATATCATGACAAAGTCTTTGAGAAGGTTTGATATAAACTTTTGCCTTTATTAACCCTCGGGGTTTTTACTTGTAATTTGTTTCTACGTTTAGTTTTTATCAGATTCTGAACAGAAAAGATACGTTAATATTTAATATTTGCGGAGGAATGCGGAATAGACAATAAAGGTATTTTAAAAATGTTTGCAAACATCGGGTCGTTCAGTTTGTTTTTCATTAATTTAATTCGTTCCCAAAACTTGAATATATTTGAATTTTGTTAAGTTTTCGTGCTCCGGTAGAAAAGATGTGAGGAAGAAAAAGACAAAACCATTTCTTTAAGAAATCAGAATTGCCAACCTCGTAATGTAATACAAATTTTGTCCAAGTTTGTATGGAGTAAAGGAGGAATAATGTATTTGTATAAATAAGCAGAAGTTTTTAACCAGCGTAAATATAAAACCAATCGAAATACACACAGCGCTGCATTTCCAAATTGTACCGAAAAGGTCTATGTGGTGTCAATGTACTTTTTGGTTTCAAATTGTACCAAAAAAGCACAATTGTGGCAACTTTATCATCACGGCATTACACACATATTTTGGGACTTTGTGAGGATTGAACTTTAGTCTAAAACAAAGATTCCAAACTTCCAGTTTATTAATAAATTCGGTTTGAACCATGCACTTTTTTGTAAATTTCGATGTGGGTTCTGCGCAAAGATACTGTGGATGGCGTAGCCGGCGTTATATGCAAAATAAATGCTGTATACCTTTCACAGTAGAAGAGGAGCTCCCGCCCTCTTCTCCAGCAACACAGAAAAGATAATTCTCATTAGTAAGGCTTACAATCCCTAAGCGCGGCCGAAGGCAGAATCAATCGCAACCAGGTGGTGGACCTAACAAAATGCATATTTTCAATGGCTTGGAAGAAGCTGTTATTGCATTAACTGGATTGAGAACCAGTTCTTCAGGCATAGCAGAAGTTATAGCTTGTGGCTCAACAATTCAACCAGAAGCTGACATAGATGCGTCCATGGTTACTCTGCCCGACAGCTCCGCATACCTTTGTGAATCCATTGCCATAGCGCGCTCTTACTCCACTGCTATAATTGCAAATGCATAGAATCCATAATTCTCCTCTAAATGTGTAAAATTAACCAATTTTACTACCTTTTTAATTTGTTTTCCTTCATACAGCTGACTTCGAAAAACAACTGATAGCTGGCAATGCCGCACATTTTTCCGCAAGGGTTGCAGCATGTCGATTTTTAGTTTTTCGTAACGTAGCTATAGGGTTGCCAGATGTACTGCTTTTGGGAGTATNTCATACAGCTGACTTCGAAAAACAACTGATAGCTGGCAATGCCGCACATTTTTCCGCAAGGGTTGCAGCATGTCGATTTTTAGTTTTTCGTAACGTAGCTATTAAATAATAACTGCCGCACAGTTTTTTTTTTTTANCTCCGCATACCTTTGTGAATCCATTGCCATAGCGCGCTCTTACTCCACTGCTATAATTGCAAATGCATAGAATCCATAATTCTCCTCTAAATGTGTAAAATTAACCAATTTTACTACCTTTTTAATTTGTTTTCCTTCATACAGCTGACTTCGAAAAACAACTGATAGCTGGCAATGCCGCACATTTTTCCGCAAGGGTTGCAGCATGTCGATTTTTAGTTTTTCGTAACGTAGCTATAGGGTTGCCAGATGTACTGCTTTTGGGAGTATACGTACTCCTTTTTATTGCAATGTACTCCCTTGTACTCCCCAAAAAAAATATATGGAAATGTACTCCTTTATTAGTTTTGTACTTCTTTTCTTCTCCTTTTTCCAGCTATTAATATTTTATCATATACAGGGTGTTAAATAATAACTGCCGCACAGTTTTTTTTTTGTTTTTAATAATAGGGACCTTTATAGATTTTGCGAAAATTTTATTAATTCGTTTTTAAATTTTAACCTTCATTTGGGTTTACCAGCGGGTTTGGGAGAAAAGCGCAAGCGGCACGCAAGTCTTCATCGGTTACTTTATTACANGTTTGGGAGAAAAGCGCAAGCGGCACGCAAGTCTTCATCGGTTACTTTATTACATATCTTCTGTAAATATAGGCTAATTTCCCCCATTTGGGTCCTTTATACTCCGTCTTTTGTCCAACATAAGGCCTCATACATAGCAATCGAAAATACTCCGAACCGGTGACTAGGAGGGCGACCAACACATACAGACGTGAGTGCCGCATGAATTTATCTCCCAAAGCTGGCAAATGCAAATAAGGATTAAAATTTTAAAACTAATTAATAAAATTAATGTAAAGTATTTGCAACGTTAACAAAAAAATACTCTTTTTCGCAACATCTATAAAGGACCCTTATATTTTTCAAAAAACCTGTGCGAAAGTTATTATCTTACGCCCTGTACTTTGCCATTCATATTGTGGCAAACACTACTTAGTTAGCAAAGTTAGGTGTGATAGTGAAAAGGTGTAGGCATGGTCGTAGCAAATTAGGTGCGGAGCGCTCGGGTATAAAAATCAGAAAAATATTAAATTAATTATAAGGCTTAAATTAAAAAACTGGCCATATATTAAGAAAGAGTTTGAAATTCTTTTGTAGAATTTAGTTGGGGAAAATTTCCTATAAGGGCGGTCATTGAAGAGGTGGTGAGCGAAGGGGAAGTGGGCGTAGCACCCCCGACCACCTAGGCCCCTTATGGGTCCCTAGGGACGCCTTAGAAAAATCGCCAAATATCACAATTGGGTGCCACGCCCACTCCCCCTTTGATCACCATCTCTTTAACGACCGCCCTTATTGGAAAGCCAGCCCATTTAGTTATTTATTTTTAACATTTATTGTTGCTTTGAAAAAGATTTCTAAAATATCTTTGTTTATTTGTACCTAATTAATGGTAATTTGTAACAATAAATTGCACAAAAAATTAAAAAAAAAAAAATTGTACTCCTTTTTTAGGTCTTGTACTGCTTTTTTTCTATCGAAAATATAAATGTACTCCTTTCTCCGTTTCTAAATCTGGCAACCCTACGTAGCTACGAATTACGAAAATTCGGGTTCTAAAATAAGTGTGGAAGTAATTACAATATTTTTTTTTTACATATTTAATGAAAAGTGTGTTATTATTGAATTGATATATACCTTATACCGGATTTTCGGTGCTTCTTTTGGACTCACAAAATTTTCATTTCATTGAATAAAAATGAAGAATAATAAAACAAGTCCCTTTATCGTTATCGAAACAATGCATTTTTAATATTTCTTGTCTCCTGTATCAAAATATGAGTTTTCAGAAAAAGTGCACCTAGCAACTTTTCACTCTAAGCTAGCGACATAAAGATTGATTCTACTAAATTGCGTTAGTTAAGGGTTTTGATCGCTCCTTTATCCAGTAGTACATGATTAATAAGTAACTTTTGATTTGTGTATTACGGTTTAGTTATGGAATACCGAAGTTGTCGTAAGTTTTAAAAATTAACTACTTATAAACCACGTTGAATCATGCCATTATGAGTTTCTTACACATAATTTTGTTCGTTAGGAAATTCTTCCAGTAAACGACCAATATGATTTGCGTTTTAACTTACTTGATACAATTTTCCACAGTTTTGCTCATTGCCCCCAAATCTTTTCCAGCCTTTTCTAAAATATTCTTTACAAATGATATGTCAGCTTGGTTTCCACATGTTAAGCAACTGCGGAAATAATGGAATTTATATGTACAATGTTAACGCAGGGCTTTATTTTTTTTTATCGCCAACCTCCATTTAGAATTCCAATCCTTTGTGCTTAGCGGTAAAATGACTCCCTCACAATTGGATTCGGTGCAATGAAAGGCATCGTAATTAGTTCCAAATTCTGTTACATCCATACACCTTATGCAAGCGCATTTAAATAATTTTGTATGCATGAGATGTTGCTGCCTCTCTACAGTTCCCCAAACAGCATCTGAGTAGCAAATGCTTAAATGCGTATTCCTTTTAATTGCATGTGGAGCCCATAGGATTAAGCCTCCATCCTTTGTAAAACTCTTTGCCAAATTGGGATAACAAGAATGCTCCAAAAACGATGCATTATTAAATACTGCAACATGTGGAGGATCAGTGGCTGGAACTTCATGACCGTTAATTTGTAAAATGCCAATTGTTTTCATAATCAATTCCTCGTTGAAGTCAGATGTTTTGAAAAATCTGAAAATAATAAAGTAGATACGTTATGCCCAGACTATATTGCGCCATTAGCGTGTCAGTCCAGTGATCCAGGTCACTGTATTGACGACTGTCTACATTATTCCAGTTATTCAGAAGCCAGTGAAATGAAAAATACAGTGGCCGTGGATTGGAGATAAACGCAGTAAAAACGTTGTAAGCAGACTCCTTTGTTAGCATTGTAAGAAATTGTTGAAGAGGTTGATAAGGAATTGAGTTATGAGACAATCCTAAATGATGCAATTTGATAATTTTTTTTCTTCTAAGTATCTATATTAGGGCGGGTTAATTTGTATGGAAGATTTTTTCGACTATGAGCATATAGCACCGATGGATTCTATGTGTAATTTTCTATAGTGTCGTATAGAAATGCTTAAATTTTGTATAAAAAAAGGATCAGTCCAGCGCCTTCGTATTGCCCTGCGGGCTGTGACAAAACCACAGCCGCTAAACTTAAGCGTAGAACACGTGATCATATTAAGAGCACATTCAGGTTAAAAACTGAACATTCCTTTTGATTTTATTGGATTGAATTTTAATCCAATTTCAAGTGCTACCCATCTTTAAATGATTTCTGTAACTTTTTAAATAAATTGAGTTTAACTTTTTAAACAGGTGGCAGCCCTCAAGCTAAATATTTCCTAATAATCTTTCGGTAACCTATGTATAATTTAACCTATGTATAATTTAAATAAATTCGGGGTTTTAAACAGATGGCAACACTCCAAAAATGTGTTCAAACTAAAACCTTGTAAACATTTTACGTGCGACACCCAAATATACATATTTAAATTATCTAATTCCCTTAATTCAAGTTGCATTTAAATTTTAAAATGGGTGGCAACCCTGCTACATTTGTTTTGAAGAAAAAGTTTCTTTAAAGCCATTTTGATTAATATCAATATTGAAGTTGTTTATTTTCTTCTTGATTTCTTGATATCCTTAATGAAGTAATTTATTTAACCTATGGCATACATTGAATTTAAACTTATAAACAGGTGGCAACCATATTTTTGAACCAAAACCTTGTTAAACCCGTTTTGTCTGACACACGTATTGTAATACATATTTAAATTATCTAATTCCCTTAATTCAAGTTTCATTAAAATTTTAAAACGGTTGCCAACTAGAGATGTTAATTTTTCAACTTTTTCCAATCCCGGGATTTTCGATATGTCGTTATCACAATCCCGGGGTACCGGGATTTAGATATTAATTGCTTTTCAACAACTTAAACCGGAAAAATTGCTTCTATATTGTTTGAGAAGCTCTCCTACCAATAAATAAATAATAAATAAATGGGTTTGAAACCTACTTTTTATTTTAGGTTTTTATTTTTTCTCTCTGAGGTCAGGATTTATTTTAAAGGACTTTGTGATTTCAAAGATATGATGAATTCCAAAAATTATTTAAAAAATTCAATGCAATGTAGAATAAAATTATGGGTACCAAATGGAAGAGGAAATGTCTTTAGAATTTAAAAAACTTAAAATTTTTTGGATTCACAAGGACGAATAGGTAATTTTTTAAGCTGATAAAGCTAAAAGGACGAAATTCGAGGATGCTACCGAGTTTATATTAGTCCTTAACATATAATTTTTTCAAAAACAAGTATTGCGAGAATTCAAGGATAAAATTTTAAAAGGACATTTTCAATACTTACTAGTCCTTCTGCACCAAAAGTTGAATCTGTTTGCATTCTACAGGATTTCCTCTTTAATTTGATATTCATACTTCTTCTCTAAGCAAATTTTTCTGAATTTTTTAAATCATTTTTGAATTACTGACGTCTGAGTGAAAAACTAAAAACGCAATTTTACTATATTTGGCCCATGGTTTCGCGAATATATTTATATTTGTTTTTAAAATTCGCGCGATGTTATATGTATAATGAGCTAGACATTTATAGAAAAATATTAATTAATAATAATAATAATAATAATAATAATAGATTGGCGCTTACACATGAGTTAGTGTTTGGCCGAGCTTCTCCTCCGAATTGTGGCGTGCACCTTGATGTTGTCACACAAAGCGGAGGGACCTACAGTTTTACGCCGACTCCGAACGGCGATTGTATTTTTATGAGAAGATGTTTTTCATGGCAGAAAAACACTCGGAGGTTTGCCATTGCCTGCCGAGGGACGACCGCTGTTAAGAAAAAAACTGTTTTTCTATATTTTTTTGCGATGTTGCTTTGACCAGGAAAAATATTAATTATTAAATAAAAAAAGAAATATAGCCAATAGTATACACTCAGTTTAACTTTATAAACAGGTGGTAACTCTGTTCAAAATATTTTGCAATTAAAACCTTTTTCGTCCGACACCCATATTTTAATTATCTCAACTCAAGTTGAATTTAATTTTTAAAACAGGTGGCAATCCTTCTACATTTAGTTTGGAAATAAAGTTATTTCAAAGACATTTTAATTGTATTAACTGATTTTAACTATTTTATTTATTGAATTTAACATTGTAAACTGGTGGAAACGCTTCTAAATATAATTAAGAAATAAAGCCTTTTCAAAAGCATTTTGTTCGATAACCATATTGTAATAATTTATTTAACTTATAATTAATTTGAAATAAATTTTTTTATCAGATGGCAAAAAAAATTTTACTGCAAATCTAGAGGCCAATCCCTTTAATTTGATACGTCATTTTTGTAAAATCGAACGAATTGTTTCTGTTTTGAATACCATTTTCGTGCCTGCCGGCAGTGTTGCTAACTTTTGATTTTCAAAAAGCACCAAAAACTAGGAAAAAAGCGTTTTACCACACTAAAAGCACCAAATGGTTTTGAATAAATTGATGCTTCTTTCATAACAGTTTGTATGTATTTAACAAAAACAAAAAATGAACAATAGTTACAAGAATGCATACATAAATCATTAAACAAAACTTTTTCGCTCATAACNAGGAAAAAAGCGTTTTACCACACTAAAAGCACCAAATGGTTTTGAATAAATTGATGCTTTTTTCATAACAGTTTGTATGTATTTAACAAAAACAAAAAATTAACAATAGTTACAAGAATGCATACATAAATCAATAAACAAAACTTTTTCGCTCATAACGATTGAAAAGCGACGTAATACCGAAGTACTGCACATTAAAACTGATATATCTCAAGAAAGAAAAATCGAATCCCAACAAACGAAAATCATGTCCTAAGTAGAAATGAGCACAAACAAATTTTATTTTCATTATATAACCTCAAATATCGCCAAAAACCGAGATTTTGGCACTTTGAGGTTAGGATATCCCAAAATTCTAGTGCTAGAGCAATTGTGCGGCCAGATTTGGATTCAGCACCAAGAAACGATGTGTTTTACTCAGGTGGTACAAAAATAAAAATTTTTATAAATTAGAAAAGAAAAAAAGAAATACTTAACTTACTCGCATATCTACCAGCATTTTCATGGCGAATAGAATTGAACATGGTGAATTTGCAAGTTCAGCTTTTTATCAATTTAAGTGCACTTAAATTTGTAGATTTTTGTAAATTCAGTGCTGCCACAGCTTTAAATATTTAAAACTTATTTCAAGTTTTAACTATATCGGAGTAATTTTAGTTCAGAAAAAAGCAATAAAAAAGGTACTAGGCACTAAATAATTTTTTATGGCGTTTTAATTTTCAAAAAGTACTAAATCTAGTGCTTAAAGCACCAAGTTGGCAACTATGCCTGCCGGTGAAAAAAATAATTCATGATTTTCAGAAAAAAGTTTTCGTAGCGTTTTTGACGTTTTTCGGTTTTGTTTACACCGTCTTCTACCTCTTCGTAGTGATTTTTTAGCGATCGAATGTGTTTTCTGCAGCGATTTTAATTATAAATTTTGGTTTATTACATATTTATGATATAAAATAAAGTGCTGTGTGATCGGAACAAGTTTGTGCGTATGTTTGGTTTGCCAAAAGGCGTAAATTTGCGTGAAAAGTGGGTGCACGTTTGTGGCCAGAACGTTGGCATTGAAAAATCGACCCGTGGTAATGATATGCGATTGTAAAACACTTTCAATCATGAAAACCATATTTTATGAACTTTTTTTGCTAATTGTCATCAAGTTTCACTTTGTATATTTNCCGGCTACAAAATCTACTACGAAGAAGTGAAGGGAAGCTATGTAAGCGAGCGACGTGAACTCGAACCGCACATTACCGATCCACGACAGACGAGCACCAAAATGGCTGGTTTGCACCCAAATACTAAGTATAGAATTTCCATAACAGCGACAACAAAAATGGGCGAGGGATCAGAGTGAGTTTGATGAGAAATTGTTGAATACCCTACGAATATTATGTATGAAATTTATGTTTGTAGGCACTTTATTGAGAAACGTACATTACCAGAGGACTCACAGAAGCCAGCCGTACCTGCATTCGCTTGGGAGCAATTGCCATCCGATAATGGTTTTGCTAAATATCGCATAAACTGGCATCCCAGCACCGAAGGGCATGCGGGCACACACTTCTACACACAATACAGGTGCGTAAGGAAATAAATTTATAACTAAAGAATATACTTTGTGCTAGAAACTATTTCAGAAACTACTTAAATCAAATAAAGAGAACATTTAGGTTAAAATGTTGTGCTTTTCAAAACCATACCATGTTACAAACAGCACGATTTAAATATATTAGAGTTAATTAAAATTTGCATAAATTTCATCTTTATTTTCCCCACACAGAATCAAAGGTGAGCCCAACTTCGTTAAAGTGGATCCGGAATTTACCAGAGACTTCCAAGAGATCGCTGGTCTTGACCCCGACAATGTTTACGAATTCCGCGTGGTCGCAGTTGATGGACTCCACGAAACACCCAGTGAACTAAGAGAAATCGTTGTTGAAGGACCTACTAAAGTGCCCAATCAGAATGTGGCAAATGCTGGCTGGTTCATTGGCATGATGTTGGCTTTGGCTTTCATTATTATACTTTTCATTATTATTTGCATAATACGACGCAATCGTGGTGGCAAATATGA